TGATTATTTGAGTCATTTCTTGAGCAAGTTATTTAGCACTTTTGCTATTTCAATCATGATTAACTGATCACTAATTATGATTATCTAAAGATATTATATCATCAATGAAAGTTGTGATTTAACACTAGTTCATAGAGTGTTGAACTTAGGGAGTAATCTCATGAAAGCAGGGAATTACTTTGTGCCTTTAACCTTGTAATTTCATAGAATTTAATAAATTTATAACTAGTTTTTTCATCACGAAACGTAGTTGAGGATAGTTATAGATTTGGTTGGTGCACTAGTGAAAATGGGCGTCACGTATATTAGGAAATTAGCCATGAAGATAATAAATTTAATTAACTGATAATTTTTCACTTGCAATAGTAGTTAGGAATTCCATGGCCCTAGGAATCTCTTTCTTGTCATTTTATTACTTTTGTTGCATGATAATAGTTTAGCTTTACTTGCTTTATTGGCTATAATCTAAATAATAAAGTAGTTCAAATACCACAGGTAGTTGACAATCTTTCCTATGGGATCGATACCTAATATCCCTTATATTCGATAAATGATCTGTATACTTGCAGAAAATAGGATATTTAGGTTTTTAAAATTTGGTGTGAAGTAAAAGTATTGTCATGGTTCATCATAAATGACAAACAGAAAGGAATTATCCAAGCATGTGACACAGTGTTTCCAAATGCTGAACATAGGTTCTGTTAAACACTTGAGCAGCAATTGGTCAGCTGCTGGTTTCAAAGGAACAGCATTGAGTAAAGCTTTGTGGAAGATGGCTAAGGCGATTACTTCCCCTCAATTCATAAGAAGGATGGAGGAAATTGCAAAACTTGATCTTAAGGCTGCTAAGTGGTTTGTTGATAAGAACCTTGCTGAATGGAGTAGATCACACTTTAAAACTTTTCCTAAGTGTGATATACTGTTGAATAATATTTGTGAATTATTCAACAATAAAATTTTAGTTACTAGGGAGGAATCCATTGTGGAGACGATAGAGTCCTTAAGCTATTTTCTCATATCTAGAATGCAAGAAAACAGAGACAAGGCTCTGGAAGGATGAAGTAAGCATAAGCTGTGTCCAAAAAAAAAAAAAAGAATGGCTGACAATATTGAATTGGCTATTCACTGTGTTTCTGACAAGGCCAATGAAATATACTATGAAGTGATGCATCCATATGGTGAAATATATGCAGTTAACATTGAAGGAAGAACATGTTCATGCAGGAAATAGGACTTGATAGGTATACCATGCTTTCATGCAATTTCAGCACTTTGGACTGCAGTGAAAGATCCCATTGATTATGTTGATGATTGTTATAGAGTGGATACTTATCTTAAGTGCTATGACCCATGTATTCTTCCTGTGAATGGAGAACATGATTGGATAGAGGTGACTGCTAAACCACCACTCTCACCATCCTATTGAAGAGCACCCGGCAGACCCAAAGAATAGAGAAGATCCGCTGATGAGGTACAGCAAACCAACGACAAGAGGAAGAAGGCTAGAAGATTTGGCCAAGTCTACAAGCGCACATATTGAGGTGACTGAGATCATAATGCAAGGACATACAAACTCAGAAAAGAAGCAATTGGTGTAGCAAGATAGAGTTACCAAAATGATCAAGACACTCAAAATTCCCAAGGTGTGATGCAGTCCCACATTCGAGATGGACTCTTTAATATACGATGCGTAAGTGTCCTGTAAAAAATAGATGTTGATAGCCTAATGGAGAACATTAATTCCTATGAGTAAAATGCTCCTAATTTGTGTGTATTGGTTTAGAATTGTGTTTATACTAATGCAAACAAGGGTATATTTCCTATTTCCGGTTAATTAGAAGCATCGGTTCAAATGCAAGGAAAGCTACCAAGAAATCAGACAAAAGCAAAACTATTTGTCCATATTTCTCATCTCAATTCTTGTTATTCTAATTATATAATGTTGTTTCTAATTACTATTAACTGATTGTTATAGAGAAATAGCACCAGAAGAAATGAAAGGAAAGCAAACTGATCCCTGAAACACTATGGATGCTGTTGAGAATAACATCATATCTTTGCCCCTGCTGCTCAACCAAGTTTGAGGAAAATTTTGGTCTTCACAATCCTCATGTGCCGCATAGAAGTCAGCCTAATCCACTTAGTTGTGCACCTTTTAGAATCAGAGATGTTCATGTCCATTTTCGTCTCTCAAAGTGAGGTGAATGGCTGTGAATGATGCTGCTTGTAGGACCTAGTGTTTTAATCCTTTTGTCAGTGCAATTTGAAATCATAGACTAGCAAAAGTTTTCCTATTTTAATGACTTATGGGCTATGGATTATTAAACTTTTATCAAATGCTCAAGTCCCACTTAATGTTTTGATTGTTTTAATGACCATAGATTCATTTGACAATGAAATTTGGGTAGGATTATTTGATTTTTTGAATTTGTAATTGAATCTGGGCACCTCTTTTGAGCCTTTGACATTTCTACTGAATTCTGTGAATCAGTATATGTGATCAAAATTTATCTTAAGTTTGTTTCAATTGTGGTCTAGATTATTGAAAAGCTTGTCAATTTTAGTGACTCGCTTCTAGGCAATTGCTTCATTAAGAAACATGTTCTAGAAATGAATTTGTTCATTCTTGGCAGGAACCCTTTGATGATGTACATTACCAAAACTACTGCACTGGTCACTAGATATTAAATCCAAAAGATGATTCGGTCAAGAAAACCAAATATTCATTAACATGGAGAAAACATGTTTGAGCAGAAGTACATCACATACTACACATTCATCCACATCAAACAAAAATACAAAATTGTGAATGAATCCACTGGCCAATCACAAGTAATCCTAGTTTCATCCAACGTTAAACAACAATAGTACATGAAGAACTTAGCCAAAAAAAATATTCCATCTTTCTTTCTTCGTATCATGGCTGTCATGCAGCTTAAATCTCACTTGAACAATAAACTAGCAAGCTAATCAATAACAATATTGATAGCAATACAATTGCCAACACCAATTTCTGTTTTCTTGATTTCATTCTTTCAATGATTATATCCTTATTGTTCATGCTTCTTAGCAGATCGAGAATTAGTGCAGTAGCTCTTAGTCACATAATTGGGCCATGTCACTAAAAATAGTTGCAACCATTATTGTCCCTGCTACCCTTTGCAATTACCAAAATAGGGACAAAATTAAAATAGGGAGAATAGCACTTCATAACCACAGAAATTGGTAAACAATGCGCACCTTCGTAACGCCACGAGAGAAGTACCTTCTCCGAAGATTGTAGTTTGTCCAAGAGGTAATCATTGTTGCTGGCCCACCATACTTGCAAAATTTTTCAGGTACCATCATTTTATACAAGGAGACTCGATGAAGATAGGTAAAGGTTTTTGTCCTAATTAAGAAACATACAAATCTCCTGCAAACCTGAATGCATAAACAATTCTTTGTTGATGTTCTTCATGAATGGAGTAGATCTCTTTCTCTGGTTAACTCGTAGGTTTTCTCTGAGATGCAGCGGAAAGCTCGATTGAGGTAGAGTTTGGCTACAATGGGGTTTCATTCTCTATTTTTGGCTTTATTATCATCTAATCTTCAGGCACCTAAACTCTCTTAATTGTGTGTTTAACCTTCTTTAATTAACAAAAGAGCAAAATAGTAACCTAGCTCAATTTTTAAGCATTTTATGACTTTAAAAAAAAAGAAACACTTTTAAGTCACGGCACGTGACTGCATATGCCATAATTTCTGCTACAAATTGAACGAAATCTATCACTTGCCCATTTTTGTGCGAAATTGAATAGATTGGAGACCACATTTACTTTGAGAAATAGATTGAGGACTAAATATGCACATGGGTGATAGATTGGGAACCAAAATTATAAATTTTGCTTCTATTTTTATGTGTTTTCAATTAAACTTTTGATATAAATGAAAAATAGTCTATTTAAAGCAGCATTTTTCCCCATTAAAAGGGTATTTTTGTTACTTTCCCATTACACTTTTAATGGAGGTTAAATTGGTTGTTTAATCAATTGCTTGAATGGAGTAAATTTTTTCACCATTTTTTAATTGACTAAGGGTGTAAAATGTCTATTAGAACAGTTTTGCCTGTAAAATGCAATGGATGTAACAGTTCATGGGGCTTTTAACCCATAAATTTATTATTAATTACTTTTGAAAATATTAAAGCAAACAATTACAACGATTTGAAAAGGATGACCTGAATAACTATATTAACAATTTATTCTAAGTGTGGTAACAAGTAGGAAAGGAGAAGCAGTATTGACCTCAGTCCATTGAGAAGAAAAAATATCAAAAAACCAAATTGGTCTAAGCATTGTCCAACTTACCACAAAGTTCTTAATAAAAAAAAATTTTTGTGTGATTAAGCCGCTAAAATGTTGGATTTAGCTCAAAGTTTGATTGCCACCAAATGTACATCTATTGTTTCCTAAGTTCGTGCGTCCGAATCTACTGAACCAATGCAACGTATATTTGTTTCGTACTTAGTTTATGTTTAGGAAATCAAGTTGGCTCCTTCACTTTCTATTCTTGGCTTTTCTTAGTGGTCAAAAATAGAAAATTCCATAATTGCTTCCCCACCAAAAACCAAAAACAAAAAGTATCCCCATAATTAATTCATGGTTGTGAATATTTATAGTCTTCGGGCGTGGTTCTTAGACCAAAGAAAATATGCATGAAAGGACCATGCACAAAAACAAGGGTCCATACGCCCAAGAGAGAGTTGTCTTACCGGAAACTGAGGAGGAAAGAGTTGCATGATGTCCATCCAACTCATAAAACCCTAAATTATATAACCAATTTCTCCTCATTCTGCTCAGATTTGCCTTATAAAAAGCACCTGAAAAACATTTTTTGTTTTGTGAAACATTTAGTAGTGATCAACTTTTTGGAGTGCCTTCCTAACCTGCAAGAACAGGAGCACTAACATCCCAACACCCCCCCCCCCCCCCTTTTACGCCCAAAAAGGTCAAAAAAAGATGTCAAGGGGGTGGCAAACTTTTAGTGCATTGTTATTATTTATTGGGATTTTTAACAATGCATGTGTCGAAGGTTTAGGGGTGAATTGGGGGACTGTGTCATCTCACAAGTTGGCTCCAGAAACAGTAATTCAACTGTTGAAGGACAATGGGATTCAAAAAGTGAAACTTTTTGATGCGGATCCGACCATCCTTAAGGCCTTGGCTGGCTCTGGCCTTGAAGTTATGATTGCAGCTACTAATCTTGAGCTTGCTGATTTGGGTGACCCTACAAAAGCCAAGGATTGGGTACATAAAAATGTCATCCCATACAATGTTAACTCCAAGGATGGTGTTAATATCACGTAAGATTTCTCATCTTTGGAATTTACATGGATTGTTTCTCGTGAAAAATAGGCCTTAAATGGAATTAATTTTTTTCTCTAGGCTCCCAATTTATGTGAGATCAATTCTGAGTTGCAAGCTGTTTAAGAGTTCTTTCTTTCATTTTGACAATTTATGTGAGATTTTTTTATTTTGCTTCAATTTGTCTTGCACTTTCTAGTATTTTTTCAAATTCTAAAGATGATTCTTAAAAAACAAATAATTGTAGAATAAATTTCTTTTTTTCCTGAACTTGTAGACACAAAATATACCATTTATTTTGACAATATATTTGGCAACATGTTGCTTAGAGATTTTAAGTTCTTCAAACTCTAAAACAGGATCACTTTCCTAATCTTTGACGAACAAATATTTCTCTAGTCTTTTATGTATCCTATTTTAAAGTATTTTTTTACTTTTTTTAAAAAATATTTTGTGCAGTTTCTAAATTTTGTAAATCAATTAATGACTTACAGGTTTATACTCTATTGCCTAAAAATCGTCAATTTTGTTATCATACCCTTGTAGGATTCAACCCTTACAGCTTTCCTTTCTCACTGAAGATTTCAGTAGGGCAACATTCCAAAATCTAATGAATCTCCAAAAGATTAAGCCTAAAACACTTAGGAAAATTAAAGACGATGTGCAAGGGAATGTTGATTTGTTCTTTTTTTCCCCCCATCTTCTTAATGCAGAATTGTAGCTGTTGGCAATGAACCTTTCCTCCAGGCCTACGGGGACAAATTCACAGGCGTCACTGCACCAGCACTCAAGAACATTCAGGATGCTCTCAATGAAGCAGGAGTTGGAAAGACTACCAAAGCAAGTATTCCTTTCAATGGTGATGTCTACATGTCTCCTTTCTATAATCCAGTCCCTTCAGCTGGCATATTCAGGCCAGATATTGCAGATAAAATAAGAGAAATTCTTAAGATTCTAAATGCCAACAATGCACCGTTTATCGTAAATATCTACCCTTTCCTGAGTCTCTATTTCGCCAAAAATTTCCCTCTGGAATATGCTTTCTTTGATGGAGCCACACCACTTGTTGATGGCAAAATCCAATACACCAATGTCCTGGATGCCAACATGGACACATTGGTTTCAGCCCTGAAGGTTGAAGGATATTCCGACATGCCAATCATTGTAGGAGAGATCGGATGGCCAACTGACGGGGACACAAACGCAAATGTGACGTTGGCCCAGAGGTTTCTCCAAGGACTCATCAAGCATCTTGCTTCCAACAAAGGCAGCCCTCTTCGACCTGGATACCTGGAAACATACCTATTCGGACTTTTCGATGAAGATAAAAAAAGCACTCTTCCCGGGAATTTCGAGCGTAGTTGGGGAATCTTTAAGTACGATGGACAACCTAAATTCCCTCTTGATTTGTCAGGTAAAGGCGAAAACAAGACTCTAGTTGCTGCAAAGGATGTGCAGTATCTCCCCAAGAAATGGTGTGTACTTAAGGGAGATGCACCAACTGATGCTAACCTCGCAGACAACATGAACTATGCTTGCAACAATGGCGGTGACTGCACCCCAATCCAGGATGGATCATCCTGCAATTTCTTGGATGCTAAACAGAAGGCTTCATATGTATTCAATTCATATTTCCAGATTCAGAATCAATCCAACACTAGCTGTGATTTTAAGGGGCTTGCAACAGTGACCACACAGGATCCATCCGTGCCAAATTGCAACTTTACAATTCAGATTGCTCCAAGTACTAGTACTAGTCCCGCGCATGTTGCACATTCTTCATCCCATGAACAAGGAAAGAGTGCCGCTTCCACTTCTCTTCCAGGGACCTTGGCCACGATTCTGGCATTCGCCACAATGCTTGCACAGCTACGATTATGAATTTTATAGGCCAATTTTTGTTAATATTTTCCTGAGAAGAAAATTGATCATTGTCGATGTTTACTGCTTCCTCAGAAAAACATTTGATAATTAAGTTTAAGGTTGCTCAACCTTGGCCATGATTCTGGCATTAGTCACAATGCTTGCACAGCTACGATTATGAATTCCGTTGGCCAATTTTTATTAATACTTTCCTGAGTAGAAAATTGATCGTTTTCAATGATTAATTCTTCCTCAGAAAAACATTTGATAATTTGTTTTAAGATTATTCAATTATTTGTTGTTTAGTTAGTTAAGCCTATGGCTTTACCTATCCTTTTTTTTTATAATTTTTTTTAATAGGGGAGGGGTGAGATTTAAAAAACGAGGAGAGGTAGGAAATTTAAATGCAAAATATCTAAATCTTAAATTTTTAACCTTAATTATTAGACCAAAGTCTTCTTGACCTTTATGTTTTTTTTTTTTTTTTTTTTTTTTCACACCAAATCCCTAGTTCCCTTTATTCTTCTAATGGAAGGCACTCCTAATCTGTTAAGCCTAATTTCCCCCTGGCCAGCATCGGAATCGTGTACCAACTGTCATAAATCCTAACCTCTTCTAGCGGGTGAGAAACCCCCTCATTGGACAAGATGTCAGCAACCTTGTTCGATTCCCTATAACAGTGCATGAAAATAGGACGGTCCCCCGCCAGGCTCAATATTTGCTGCACCTCTCTCTTAATGTGCCAGGGGCAATGTAGCCGCCCTTGTAATATCCCAATCAACAGTAATGAATCAGCTTGTATAGCCAGACGTTCAACTCCCTTCGCACGACATAATCGGATGCCAACCAAGGCAGCCAATGCCTCTGCTCGTAGACTCGTGCCCTCTCCAAGGAACGCCGAGAACGCAAACACAGCATGCCCATTCGAATCCCTGACCACCCCCCCTCCTCCACACACACCCGGATTCCCCTTAGAGCATCCATCGGTATTGAGTGTCAGCACCTCTTGGCCTCCCCCCTTCCATCGGACAACGCTGATATTGTAAACATAGGATGGGTAAGAGATCTTCTCATAAAATTGGGGGAAAGTCAGCATACCCAACTCCTTCTGAAACCGAATCTCAAACGCAGCTTTGACATCCTGAGCGACCATATTACAAATACCTTGGCCTTGCGGCTGGATACCATCAAAGACCGCTCTATTCCTGGCCTTCCAAATATTCCAGCAAATGAGACTAGGGAGCACATCCAACACAAACCTCTGCTGCCGAGACAACGTCGGGGAAAGCCACCACGTAATCAAACGTGCATGTACTTCGGAGCCCTGAACGACTACACCGCACATGTTTTGGAAGTAACTCCAGACCTGGGAGGCCAGTTGTCCTGTGGAAAAGACATGCTCAAGTTCCTCTCCTGTGGCAGGCACACAGCAGAAACATTTGGACGGTAACTGAAACCCCATCCGTCCCAGAATGTCATCTAGGGGCAATCTTCTCAGTAGCATTCGGTGCATGAAAAAGGAAATTTTCAATGGAATGCTAGATTGCCAGATTCGGGAGAAAGCCATTGAGTTATTCCGAACCTGGCGGACCTCTTGGTAGGCCGATGCTAAAGAAAATTTCCCTGACGTCGTAGGCATCCAAACAGCTTCGTCAGGGAACCCCCTGCGAGGCACCGGGAGCCGTACCACATTAGCAACACACTCCGGCGGTAATATTTGTGTCAGCCGATAGATATTCCAGCTCCCATTGCACACCAATTCCGCAAAGGACACATGCGGTGTATCTGCCACTGTAAGGAAAAGTGCCCCACTCCCCAACCAGTTATCGTACCAGAAACTGCACTCCCCCTCATTCACCAACCATAATATAGATAATTCTACATGCCGGCTCACACTTACCATACGGCGCCACGTTGCCGACGCAGACGGAGCGATGGTTGCTTGATAGGGGTGGATCCCGTTACAATACTTTGCCCGCATGAACTGAGACCACAAAAATGATCCTGTGCGCAAACACCACCATAACTTACACGAGAATGCGTTGTACACCTGCCTCACTTGCCGAAACCCCACCCCCCCTCTTCCACCGGATAACATAGATTGGACCACCGGATCCAGTGGTGCTTCACTTGCTCGTGCGATGAGCCCCACAAGAAATTGGAACACAGCTTCTCAATGCTTTTAAATACTACACCAGGGACCACTGCAGCAGATAAGAGATGAATGGGCATGGATGTTAGGACGTGCTTGATCAACACCAGCCTCCCTCCTGGGGATAATAGTTTCGACTTCCATGATATAATTCGGGCGGCAATCTTATGACACATCTCCCCATAATAGGCCGACTTGCACCTTCCCAGATATAGAGGGAAACCTAGATATCGAACTGGGAACTGCTGGCGGGAGAATCCCGTTATCCGCTCTATTACCCTCCGGCGCGATGGTGACATAGATGGGTGAACTAAGTAACTACACTTCTGGACATTCACCAGCTGGCCAGAAGCTTGCTGGTACTGCTCTAAAATCTGCATGACTTTCTTCAAGGATGTAGCCGAGCCATTCGCAAAGACCAGAACATCGTCGGCAAACGCCAGGTGTGTCACAGGGGGACATCCCCTGGGTACTGTGTAACCCAAAAAGCCAGATTGAGCTGCGAGACTGTTCAGCCCCCTTGACAATACCTCCGCTCCAATAACGAATAAAGCCGGAGACAAAGGGTCTCCCTGACGGATACCTCTACTAGATTTAAAAAACCCATGTGATGCCCCATTAATAATCACTGAAAACCACACGTTTGAGACCAACCTCCAGACCATGTCAATGAATCGTTCCCCAAACCCAAATTTGCGCAAGACACCGACAGTGAAACCCCACGAGACTCTGTCATACGCTTTAGCCATGTCTAACTTGAAAATTACATTTCCCCCTCTAGCCCGGTGTCTAAAACCCGACATCAACTCCTGGGCCAGTAGATAGTTCTCAGTTATATTCCTACCCTTGACAAAACCCGTCTGTTGCGATGACACCAGTTTTGGCAATATCCCCGCAAGCCTATCCGCCAAAATTCTAGATAACACTTTATTAATAAAATTGCAAAGGCTAATAGGCCGATATTTCGAAAAGTCCTGAGGATTTGATACCTTCGGGATTAGAACAATAGATGTAGAAGTAATAAATCTAGGCAGCTCCGCCCCATTATCATCCCCCGTGACAATACGCGGAATCAGGTGCAATAAGTCCCCTGATGCCCCTCCTGGCTCCGAGAACAGCTCCGAGAAATACCGGACTGCCATGGAGGCAATCCCCTCATCGTCCTCAACCCATGCTCCACTCTCATTCTGCATCCTATGAATCGCCCCTTGCACCCTTCGTTGCTGTACGGTAGCATGAAAATACTTAGAGTTCCTATCCCCGTGCCGGAGCCATTTGACGCGAGCCTTTTGACTCCAAAATCGCTCTTCGTTGGACAACGCCAGCCGCAATTTTGCTTGAGCCTTTTGCAGCTCAACTTGAGCATCCCCCGATTCATCCTCCTCCACTTGATTTTCCGCTGCTAACAAGTCCGATTCTGCCCTATGAACAGCAATAAAAATATTTCCAAAAGCCTCCTTATTCCACTCCTGTATCACCCGTCGGGCCTTTACTAATTTGGAACATAACTTCCGTAGGGGGGAACCCGTACACTCTAACTGCCATGCATTTCGAATAACCTCCAGCAGATCCTTTCTGTCTGTCCAGAGATTCAAAAAGCGGAACGGCCTAGGCTTGTTATCCATGCGTGATGCCAAACCAATCCTCAGCGGGGCATGATCTGACGGATGTCTAGCCAGATGGGCTACTGACACAGATGAAACGGCATCTGAGAAAGCTCCATTAATTAGTAGCCTGTCTAGACGCTTCCAAATTCGTTCGCGGCCTCTCCGATTATTACACCACGTGTAGCTGGATCCAGAGAATCCCGCGTCAAAGACCTCCGCCTCCTCCATGAATGACAGTAGCTCCATACCCTCTGCTCTAGCAAATGGTCTCCCCCCTCGCTTCTCGTGAGGGTCTATGATCACATTAAAATCACCACAGACACACCACGGAAGTGATGTGGGTTTGTCAGTCAACAGGTCTTGCCATAAAATTCGCCGCTCCTCCATCGTGCACCGGGCATGCACAAACGAGAAGCACAGCGACCTTGGTAGCCACGGGTGATGCACCAGTAACGTAATGTGCTGTGAAGAATTACCTATTATAGTACATGCAATCGGAGCACTAAACAGCACCCATATGTCTGCAGACAAGTTAACCACTACAGAATCAAATGGTAACCGCATTTTAATAGAATCTATTTGGGATATTGCTAGCTTCGGTTCACAAATAGCAACAAATTTCAAGTTATGCAAACGAACTAGCTTAATCAGACGACGCAGGTTGGGGGGTTTGGAGGCCCCTCTAATATTCCAAAATAGCCCACTAATCATGGGATAAAGGTTGGAAAGAGTTTTGAGATAATGTTACCGATGACCGCAGTTGCCTATCTGATGGGAATTGAGCCCGAGCGCCTTTTTTCCTTGTTCGCCTATCCCGTTGGTCCAGTACGTCGGCTTGATCGATGTTGAGCTCCACCATTATGGCGGATACCGGATGTGCAGCGCCGATTAAGTCCTCCTCCTTAGCTGCACTTAAAGACCCTTGTTCAGCTGGCACCATAGCCCCATCCCCTATATCTTGCTCCTGCCATTGCGGCTCACTTGGGATACCCGCAACTGCTTCGTTCAAGTCCTTTGGAGTAGAGTTGCTGCTAGTGCCGCTGGTGTCCATCGCCCTCTTCTCTCCAAGTTCCGCTGCCTGCTCTCTTCCCCCATTTGGAACCAACTCCACCACTGCCAAATTAGCAGCTGCAACATCCACCGTCCCCATTGTTGCTCGATCCTCACTTACTCCAGTTGCGGCAGCAGATTCTGTCAACCCAGATGCTGGAGCGGTGACTGTTACTGCATTCCCTGACGCCCCAGGTGCGGCAACAGCCTCTGCTGCCTTTTGGACTCCTAACGTCTGCCCACAGTTAGGATCATCATCTGCCATCGCTGTCTGCATTGTTGCAGCAAAAATATCTGCTGCACGTTGGGTCCCCAACACCTGCCCACCGTCTCTTGCATCAGCAACCATCACTTGCTGCCGTACCTCCGCACCCAGACATCGCGCAGCACTGTCCCGGGCAGATATGGCACCAGCTCCTGCGTCCCGTACGTCAACTGCCAATGCTGCTTGCTGTCTCTCCACTTGCATATTCTGCTCCACCGCAATTGCTGCCCTTGTTTTTCCTTCCAACGCCGTTCCCTGCTCCACCTGCTTATACTCTCGTGCATTCCTTTGTGCCATCGTACCCAGGTCCTCCGCAGGTTTTTTGCATTCGTCCACCGCATGCCCCAGCCGCCAGCAGGTGGAACAATATTTTGGCAGATCATCCACCGCAACCTTCTGCCAGAAGCCTTGTTCCCCTGCCACAGCTACCCACACCCGTGAACATATCGGTTTCAGCAGATCAACCTCTACACAAGCTCTAGCTACACTTGGCCTTGTTCCTGATGCCGTGGCTGAGTCCACAAAAAGAGGTGTTCCAAGCTGCCATAGCCCTCGTGTCCAGATGCGGTTGAAGTCTGCTTCTGCTGCACACTTGAGGAGGACGTGACGGTAGTCCAGTAGTCCCACAGAAACCTGGTCTCTGAGATTTAGTGACATGAAGAATTTTCTGATGTCTTCCAATGGTGGTCTGCCATGGGAGAACTTACCCACCAAAGCCAGGCGGTATGGTGCTGCCAATCTGTCCGCCTCTTCCCTGGAGAAAACCACAGCCGCTTCACCCTTGTATGTGGTGTTTTGCCGAATCTGAATTGGAGATGTATCTGGTTGTGTGAATAGTTGGGAGAAAGATTTCTTCTTTGTTGGTGAAGCCCCCTCTTCCGGGGGCTGAAGAACAGCCATGGGCGGCTACCCTAGCGAGGCAGCCGAGAGAGATGCAGTTTTGTCCGAAATCCCATTCATCCCAGGAAGTCTGCCACTAAAGCAGCTTCCTCCTCCAATGATGAAGTGATTGAGTTCCTTCGTGAACTCAAACAGCATGTTCTTCTTCTAGAACATGGTCTAATGCTCACCATGTCCTCTGAGCAACAAACAGCCTTCCTAGACAAAAAGAACCTTCTTTTTCCCCCACCTGTGGTTGAGGAAGTTTCCCATGACAAAGAACCACACCCCACTGATCCAAGCTCATCAATTCCAGACCCTGGTTCATCAACTCCTGTGACTCCTCATGGCCCTTCCACATCAGATAAAGGCAAGGCACCAGTTGAAGAGGCTGCTGCAGATGATGAAGAAACTGAAGAGGAGGACCTCTCCCAATATCAGCTCTCTCGAAGAACACCTGGATCCACATAGTTCACCATTTAGGACATTTGCATTTTGTTTATTTCATGTGTTTGTGGTGTTCAACAATGGATATGTAGATGAATTCAACATTTGGTTATGATTATGTTTATGTTTCTTTTGGTACTGTTTGATAGATGTTTAAGTATTTTGAATGATGATTGTGTGGATGTAATGAATTTTGTGGATGATTGTGTGATGTTTAAGTATTTTTGAATGATGTTTGTGGATGAGATGGATGTGATTGATTGAAACCAAGAATAACACAAATAGCAAATGACTCTTGCAAAAAGTAAACAACAAATGACTCTTTGGCCTACAGTAATGTGGTCTTTCAAAAAAGCAAGCAACATTGATTCAGATATAGTAATAATCCTCATCATCTGGTGTATTCGAAGGAGTGGTGTCAGGATCAGTGATATTATACAATTCAATATGATCCATGTGCGCTCTTTTGTTTCTCCTTTTATTGAATTGTCGTTTTTCTTCTAAATTCTCCTTGTAGACAAAAGTAGTGGAGGGGCCAGCTTTCATTGTTTCACTTGTCTGATACGGATCTTGTGAATCCTGCATGACACTATCATTCATCATATCTTGATATTCACGCTTGGCCTTTTGAACTCTGTTCCAGTGAAGATGACTGGTATGATAATTCCAAGAACCATAATGTCCTAGCCAGATTTCCGATGGAATGCATCAGTTTTGTTGAAATATGTACCTTTGTGCCTCCTCATACTCATCATCAAGATCTAAAATAGTATGGAAAATTTCTCTGTAAATGACTGCATTTGGGAGAGTATGAATTTGGTTGTTGATCAGATGGTTGGGCTTATAAAAATGGCAAATGATATGATTTAGATTTGTGGAAAACAAATCAGACCAGAAGTATAATGGTTTGAACCATTGTAGAAAAATTTGGAGGTTTGGGTTCAAGGGCTGATTGAAGAAAGGACTTTGAAATTCTATAAGAATATGGTATTGATTACACAGACACCAAAAATACCATAAAACATGTGACGACCCCACCTCCCCCTAAGGTGAACCAAAGGGTTCAGCAGACCGCCTGCCTAACCCTCGCCGGGGCTCACTCACTTATCACTTCAGAGCAAGTTAAGATGGCCAATCAAACTTAACATATATACAATCATTCACACAGATATACAATTCTCAAGTTAAGTACAAAAGTTCAGGATCCAACCAACTACCAATACTATCACTATTACACAACAAAAGTTCTATTTAAAAGTTTAGTCTTCCTCTAATCACTCGTCCTTGCTCTCAAACCCTATAAGGAAAACAAATTTAACGGAATAGAGGGGTGAGCTAAAGCTCAGTGAGGTTCCCATACACAAAATCAAGCAATTGAAACAAGGAAATTATTCATTTAATAACAATCAATCGAGAAAACATACACAATATAAAACAATGAAAACACACTCATTAAAAGGATACATGCTCATGTGGAGCCATTCGTTCCATCATTCATTCATTCAGCCAGTCATTCTCCGTCCTTCAATCATTCATTTCTTCCCTTATAACTTCAATATTTCCATTCATTCATTTCATTTCCCGCCATTAACCAATTCACTGGTCAGTTCTCCACCAAACTTCGTGGTCATACTCGAGTATACCAAAACACTGTCCCAGTGTCACCAACAGCCCGACCGAGTCCGCTTCTGGCTCGAGTCGACTGGCAACGAAAGGCAAGGGCCCAATTCAGCCAAAAGGCTTATATTCATGCACAAGTAGTATTCCATCATTGAAAATTCACTTTTTGGTTTGGATTGAGTGTGATAAAGTACACACTCGCCCATAAAAAATCCATTTAACAATCATGAGAAAGCATTTAACATTCAAACAATCACTCACAGATATTCACATAGTCACTTATTGCACAAACATGCAAGGAACACTCACCCTAAACAAGTCACGTTTTTATCAAAATTCAGTTTAGGGCCGGCACCTTGGCCACTCTCGAAATCTGCAGTCAAATATTGTCCACAAAGAGCCAATCATACATGAGTGCAAGCTGCATAACTTATATTATCAAAGGAAAAAGGTATGAAAAGTATAGTAAGTCATATAGGCAAGGTGCACGCATAATTTGTAAAAGAAAATGATCAAAACGGTTAAGTTTAAAGCCAATATGTGTAACTAGAAACCATATTTTGAAGACTTGTTTAGATTGTTAGAAATCAGGTTTGGAACACTTGAGAAGTACATGTTAAGTCCGACGAAGGAAACGGAAAACAAGAGAAAGGCAATGAGAAACAATGAAGATGGCAGCTTTGCCATCCTTTGGTGTTTTGATCACAACTGAAGCTACACATAACGGATTGAAGTAAATGTTATGGCGTTTCGAAGCTAAGGAAGAGACCTATATTTCCTATGAAGATATTGACACCCAGTTCTCACATTTTTAGGGTCCAAAATGGATGGACAGAAGCACATGAAAAACAGGTCAGAAAAATTAGAGTTTTTGCGCAGTCAGGAGTGCTCTGGAAAAATCATAAACTACAATGATCCAATTGACCTAAAATTTTGCAGGAAGAAATTTAACTCAAATATCTATAACTTTCATGTTTTGTCCAAAAACTGATTCAATCTAAAATATGGAGAAATTCTCAGCCCAAGTTGCTACTTCATCCAGTAAAAGACAGAATAGGTATGCAATTTCAGTCAAATTTGAAAAATCGTTGATATTCATAGGAATTGAGAAAAAGACTGAAATTTTCATGGTTGATAGTACTATGGCTCTAGTTGCAACCACAGCAAATGGAATTCAATTCTGACTTTCCTACAACAAGATATAGCAGATTTCCTAAGGCTGCCCAAGGGTTCCTGCAAACAAAATTTTCAGCAGCACCTCCTTTGTGTTTACTACTTTTTCCAGCTAATTCAAGGCTTTATT